TTGTGTGCTTACAGAAGAATGGATAAGGACTATCTATAGGAGTGTGGATATCTCACCAGTAACTACACCACCAAAGAAAATGTCTCCCCCTGACTCCGCCAGCCATTAACTGTCTATAGATCTTTAGAGAGGAAAGGGTGAGCTTCACCCCACCAGCAGCAGTTAACTGCCTAGAAATCTCCAGGGAAGGGTGAGCCATTATAAGTGCTCTCCATCATGGAATAATGTTGATAAAGCCCAATCGTGTCAGCTCTGTGAGTTTACAAATGCAACAGCACAGTCCCAGAGAACCTAGACAACAAAGAAGGCTCTAAGGGAGACATACGTGGATTTACATGGGAAGGAAAAATAGACAAGCTCTCCTGAGCAAATTGGGAGTCTGAGGGTCATGGGGAGAAGGTAGAAGGGGAGAGGGGAAGAAGGGAGGAGAGAGGAGAAAAATGCGTAACTCAATAAAAACAATAAAAAATACAATAAATAAAAAAGAGTACAGAAGCTGTGCTATGCTTTGAGACCTTGTTCTACAACACTCTGTCCCTTTCTCCTGCTCCTACTTTCTTTAAATCTCCTCTTTCATCGTGTTTTTGGAGCCTTGAAGGGGGTGATATAGATGTTCTATTCAGGGCTGAATGTTCAATAGTCACTTACTCTCAGAACTTTGACCAACAGTTATGTCTTCTCAGTAACCACCTCTTACTGCAAAAAGAAGGGTCTCTGCCCAGAGGTGGCAGCAGCATTCATCTATGGGAACGAACATAATTACTTAGAAGCCAGTTTGATGGATACAGTGAATCCATTTAGCAAAACAACAGCAGCAGCCTTCCTAGTAGACCCATGACCTCTCCAGCCACAGGGCTTTGACCAGGCTTCCTGTACTGAGCACTGGTTCTGCCCTATGAAGCAGGCCTCAAATCCACTTAGAAAGTGGTTGGTTACCCCATAATGGACTTGCTACTGTAACACTAGTGGGCACATCTTGCCTGGAGATTCAACAAAATCGTTTGCAGGGTCCAATGCTGAGCAAGACAGCTGAGGACAGTTTCCCTATCTGCGTAGCACTCTGACCCAGTAAGGGCCAGTTGTCATGGAGAGAGCATCCAGCTCACTTCTAGGTTAATTTCTCCATGTCCTTAGACCAGAGCATGTGCTTGCTTCATCAAGAGGGCCTTACCATCTAGTTCCAGTGGGCAGCCAACAGCGGTGGCAATCACCTGTATTATTTTGGAGGCCGCAGAGGGATTTGTAGGGAGGTAGCCCATCCCTAGAAAAGGGATTTTCATTTAATAACCTATGGATTCTAGGAGTAGCTTTATTTCCCCATTCAAGATGCCTCCATTCAAATGGTTTCCGGCCTCTTTTAATATGTGAAAAGGAAAATGAAAAGGGGTGGGTGATAAGTAAGCATTTTACCTTTTTTAGCGCTGCAGTAGACTTACATCATGGGAAAGGAAAGGAGTGAGCCTGCTTATTCTATGAAGAAAGTAAAATCATAAATTAGATAAAAAATGAAGCCAAATGCACCTTGGAAACTTTCCAGACTCACCGATAAAATACAGCGCACCTGGTGTGTGTACACAGCCACTGAACCAGGCTCAAGAAAGACAAGGGTATTTTGGCAGGAACTGGGTCAACAGACCATGTTGCTTCCAGGAGTATCTGGAATATGGAGTGGGGTTGGGCAGGCCAATCTCTGTTCATGCGCAGGATTTACACAAGAGACTTTTAACAAGCAGGGTTCATATAATACTTACTATTGTGTTTTCTTGTTTGAAAGGGAACTAAATGAGATCGTGCAGAGCAGCCACTGTGTAGCCCACACAGGGTGGGCACAGTACAGCCATGCAGGGTGTGCAAAGTACAGCCATGCAGGGTGTACACAGTACAGCCGAGCAGGGTGGGCACAGTAAAGCCATGCAGGGTGTGCACAGTACGGATCTGGATCTGATTGCATCAAGTTCTATAGTCATATGGTGTTCGAATAGATGTCCAGAAATCATGAGTAGCACTTGAGGTCGTCCCAGGCTGGTGGGAAGGGCTCCTAGTATGAGCTTGGAGCAACCTCTCCTCCTTCACTCCCTGAGTATCAGGCTTTCCATGTGTTTTGTGTGTTAAGAATTAAAACAGGACTATGTAGGTTACCACAAGATGGCATTCTATTATTTCAAGTAATGCCAGGTAGAGAGAGCCTTGGTTCGATACATTTTTAATTTCTGAAATACATTAAAATATGTGCCATCCGTGTCACAGTATTTAGCGGTTTCACACAAACCTCTAATTTCCTTCGCCATTCTTTATGGAAACTTGAGGTCTATGTCTGTTAACTCATGGAGGAAAACAAGTTAGATTTTGCAAATGATTTTCGCTAGAGTGAATAGTTCACGGTCTCATGTTCAGCTATTAAAAGTTCCATTTTCTTATAGCTGTTTGCAAGGACTGTAAAATGAGTGACCTTTAAGTGTTTGCTACTGTGTTTCCCACGCTTTTCCATCTATCACCCTGTCTCATTTTCTCTAAAGCAGATCTGACATATTTATTTACTGCTTTTGTTTGTTTCTTCAAGTAATGTATGAATTTTTTAAGAGGCTACGTGGTGTTCATTTCCTGACCACATCCTCAGTGTCTGGAACAATATTTTCCTATCTATCTATCTATCTATCTATCTATCTATCTATCTATCTATCTATCATAGTTTGAAAGAAAACGGCCCCCAAAGGCTCATAGGGAGTAGTGCTATTAGGAAGTGTGGCTTTGTTGGAGTAGGTGTGGCATTGTTGGAAGAGTTGTGTTACTGGTGGACAGGCTTTGAGGTCTCAGAAGCTCAAGCCAGGCACTGTCTTTCCCTGCTGCCTGTGGATCAAGTTGTAGAACTCTCAGCACCATTTCTGTCTGCACGCCATCATGCTTCCTACCATAACGATAATGGACTAACCCTCTGAACTGTAAGCCAGCTACAATGAAATGAATTCCTTCATAAGAGTTGCCATGGTTATGGTGTCTCTTCATGGCAATAAAACTCGAACTAAAACACTGTCTATCTGTCTGTCTGTCTGTCTGTCTATCTATCCATTCATTTTTATCTTCCTGCCTGTTTAATCACAAGAAAGATGAAAAGGATCCTTATTTAAATGAATATCCTTTTTCTTAGTAGGTAAATATTGAAATGAAATGGAAGTGCGAAATTGCCCAGTTTAACCTGTAAGAATTTCACTGACAGTTTAGTGATGTAATCTGTGCCTGCCTGGCGAGGCATTGTGTTTTCCTTCATAATTTAGTTTAGTTATCTTTCTACAACTTACAGCGGGACTGTAACATTTATTAGGATGCATTTATGGATATGTAATGAACAAGCTGGAATGCAGTAAAGGAAAGAATTCCATTTCATGTTGGTGTAACAGGGCTAATTCGCACCCTGTCTTCATGGTTTAGGGAGTCGCGTGCATCTTGGATGTCTCTGTGCAGGAAGTCTCCTTTGTAGAGGGACAGACTCCGAGGTCCACCCTTCTCTTACCAGTGTGGATCTCTGGAGGGCTAAACTTCATGGAGGTAGTCATTGTAATTTTGAGTCTTGCCGTCTAGGGCTGAACTGAGTGAATGCATGCGCAAATGCAGCTTTATTCTTATTCTTGTTTCTTTGGAACCCATACTGATAGAGTTTTATATTTCATTTAGAAGGATTCAGGAGTCCTGAAGCTCAAGTTCTCCAGGCAAAGAACCCCTTTTCCTACCTCAGCGTGTACTTGCTCAGTGTGTTAAGATGCCATTTGACCACAATATGAAGCTGGGGTCCTTGGGAGGGGGCAGGAAGTAGCCCAAGAGCATCAGTCTCCAGTTAGAAGCCATTTATCATGTGGCTTTGAGAGATTCATTCATTCATTCTCCCTCTCTCTCTTTTCTCTCTCCACTTCTGAGTAATGGAAAGGTTGGGTTAAAGTAACTAAGAGGTAACTTCACAATGGAGGCAGTCAGACAGTATCTGGGGTAAGTTACATTATCTCAGGTGCAGTAATTTTTAACAATTTTAGCAGGGTATTTAGTTTTTCCAAGACTGACCTCCCATATAGGCAATAGAAAAAAGTAAAACCCATATAACCCCATGGTATGCTTTTGAGAATTAACAGACCATGTATGTAAATCGAGTAGGTTAAAAATGGTAGCTCTTATAAATGTTGATTCATCTAAATTATCTTCCAGGACAATTTAATAAAAGAAATTAATTATTTATCAAATAGCTCCTGTGTGCCCAAACCCTATCCTTTTATGGTTATTTGCCTGAGGTACTAACACAGTCACCAGGCCATGGTCCAGGGCAGTAATTAAATGAATTCTTTCTGTTTTGGACTGGCCTGTTTAATTCCTGAAACAACCAGTTTCTGCTTTTAAAAATTAGGGATAATAATATTATGTAACTCCTTCACAATGGAACAGTTGTTAGATAGGCTGGTATAATTAAGGCATTTAGCATAGGTCTGGCACAGAGAATATTCTTAGTTTATGTTAGTCTGGTTTATTATTATTATTATTGTTATTATTATTCTTTTATTTATTCTCACCTCATTCTCTTCTCTGTTCAGGGCTTAGATAGGATCTAAAGGTTTTCCTGGAGACAGAGGGCTGACTCATTGGCTTCGAGCCCTTGTTGGACCTGGGCTCAGTTCTCAGTGCAGATGTGGTGGCTCACAATCATTTGTAACTCCAGTTCTGGGGGACCTGTCATCTTCTGATCTTCTCTTTGGCACCAAGCACTCTCCTGGTGCACATACACATGCAGGCAAGGACCACAACCCCCCCCAGTTAAATAAATTGCCTCTGGATTTATGAAAGCCCTCCTCACTTGTTTGAATGAGTGGTAAAACCAAGATTCTTGATTTAAAACTGGGTTTTACTTAGAGGTTTCTTGGAAGATACTTTCTAGTCCTGCAGGTACCTGTCATTTCTATCAGCTAATTCATCTTTAAAGAGAACTTTAAAAGACTAACTTTTCATTATGTGTTTTCATTCAGTACCCCAACCCCATGGATAATAATGTCATCGCTGTAAAAACTGTGGAAGAAAAGAAAGGTAAGTTCTTTGAATATGGCCTACTTTAGTTATACTCACTAAGGATTCTCACTTTGTAAGGGATACATGTGTGTGTGCATTTGTGTGTGTGTGTACGTGTGTATGTGTGTGCATGTGTGAGCATGTGTGCACGTGTGTGTCCATGCATGTGTGAGTATGTGTGCACGTGTGTGTGCATGTCTGTGTATGTGTGTGTCTATTACATCTCAGGCAGAACCCCTGTCACTTTTTAAATTATATTTGATGGTAAGACTTAGGCCAGGCATAATGGTGCAGGTAGCATGTTGAAGTATTTAATGTGTGCCAACATTTTTCATTAGCTTATTCAACATTTAGAATAATGTTTGAGGTAGGATTGTGGTTTTTCATATTTAATGCAGGAAGAAACTAAAGCACAGAGAGGCTGGCTAACCTACCTAAGCTCATTTGGCTGTATCTCTATCACATGTCAATTTGTAGATGGCAAAACAATCGTAGATAGCACACAGATGAACCAGGTGTGGTGTGGCTCATGTCTGCAACCTCAGCCATTGAATGGTGGAGGTGGGAGAACTAGGAATTCAAGGTTAGCCTGGGCTATTAAAAAATAGCAGACAAATGTGATGTTGCCATAAATTGCTTAGGTTGTGGAACCATAACTGTAGTTTGGCAAATTACGGCTCACGCTGTGTTGTTTTGGTAAGCAAGGTTTTGTTGCACATTAGACACTCCCTCTGTATGCTATCAGTGGCTGCTTCATCTGAGTTACAGCAAGAACTGAGTATTTGTGAAAGAGACCACGTGACCCACACATCTAAATTATATACCTCATGACCCCCTCAGGAGATGTTGACTGTGTTCCACCTCGGGGTGTGGGGTGCAGTGCTAGGGTCCCTGGTGCTCTTTGCATTCCCTCCTTCTGGGGAAGAATTGTGTCAGTTAGTGTTGGGAATTGAGGAGTGGGCAGTGCCAGGAGCTCTGAACATGGGCACGCTTGAGGCCCAAGCCTGTGGAGACAGCCAGAGCCCAGCCCAGCACGCTCAGAATTCAGCCTTCGAAACCACGGGTGCTGCTGCTGGGTGACATGGCTGCAGCTTCCTCTGCTGCGTAAACCTGAAACTGTCTTATTTATGGGGCCGCTTTCTGCATATCTGTAGCTATCGAAATAGATTGCGAAAGCATTTTCTCATGCACCCGTGTGTGATGTGGGACAAACTTGCTTTCTGGTCTGAGACAAACCTGCTTTCGAATCCTGATTCTGTTATTTCCCTCATGACCGAACTTTTCAAAGGCTTAAGCTCTTTATCTGTCAAATGGTAAAATGATCTTGTTAATTTCAGGATGTCATCTCTGTCTCCATTTTATTTTTCACTATTTCACCCCGGTTGACCTGAAACATCCTGTGCTCACCAGGCTGGCCTAGAACTCACAGAGCGCCACCTGCCTCTGCCTTCCAGGGGCTGGTGTTAAAGGCCTGTGCCTCCATGCCTAGAAACAACTCCATTTTTAATACATGTGCTATTCACATTGTCTGAGGTTGCCAAAGGACTGCTGGGGGTGGAGCATTTGTTTCCTGACTGCAGGGTCCTGGTGGTCATGGTGTTTGCAGCAGGGTTAGGGCAGCTGTAGTTAGAGCATCGAGAAACCTCGCCTTGTGTCTGAGTCTCAGCAATTCACAGAGAAATGACAGCACTTCACAGTTTGCCCCCCCCCCCCATTTCCTCTCATCTTAATTTGCACTTACTTTTTTTCTCACTAGTTTTAACTTTCCCTCCAGGAATGCTCTGGTCTCAGGGGTTTCATTTTTTAATGGGTGTGACTCGTGTAGTTAATTAGTTACTGGTTTAAGTGAAACAGTCAGAAATCTGGGCTTGAGACTGTGGTCTAGGAGCTGGCAGAGTCTGTTACTGACCTCTTTGTTGAGCTGGTGGCCACTGGCCACTGCCACTGGATGCTCGGCACCGATGGCCTAGGGTGGTAGCCCGTTTGTGATTCATTGTCTCGAATTTAGCCTGTGTGTTCGGACTTGTTGTTTTACATCTACTCCTCGGGCATTTGTGATTTGGCTCAGAAAACTGATCTGAAAAACAGAATGTTAAAAAAAAAGATTTATTTTATTTTTACATGGTGTTTATGTGTATGCCTGTGGTGTGCTTGTGCCTGGGTGTAGGTGTCTGAGGAACCCAGCTGTGCTGGATCCCTTGGAAGTGGAGTTAGAGGTAGTTGTGAGCTGCTTGAGGTGGGTGCTGGGAACCACGCTTGTTTACTGTTTATAAGATCAGTGAGCACTCTCAGCCACCAAGTCATCTCTCCAGGCCCTGGAAAACTTCATTTCGTGTCAAGCCTTATCTATGAGAATTCTATATGTTGAAAATTGAAGTTGAGCTAAAAAGCTCTGTGGACTTTTAGATAAGAATACGTCTCTCCCTAATTATGTTTTGGCTATGAAATTTTCTACTTCCAGATGAATCAACAGGACTCATCTATAGAAAGAGGATTGCTATCTGTCAGAATGTGGTGCCAGAAATTTTAAGAAAGGTAAATTCATTTCCGAGTTTAATCACAGTGGGGATAAAACTGAGGAATTTTCATAGTCATAGAAAAAGACAGTATTTTCTGATCGAAGGGAGTGTCAGAATGTCCCACTGTCCACTCTCATGGTTTTGTAAGGGAAATATTTCTCCCATGTCCATCCCAGTTTTAGCAGATGCCTCTGGAGTGTCTCATCTCTGTCTGTTCTGTGAAGGGCCCTTTGTGGATATGGGGTGATTTGATGATTATTTTGTGGATACTTTTTGGCATTTTGAATGAAGCGTTGACTTTTTTAGTCTGTCCATGGCTAGCAACAGGTAAGAACAATCAGAAGTGAGAAGATTTAAGTATTAGTCCCATGTTCAATGTGGGAGTCCACACTTCTGCTTGTAATGCACTGAGAGCATCGTCTTCTTAGTGCCCCATGCAAGCCTTTCTGTGCGTAGTTCTGTACACTAAGGGCACTGATGCTGGAATGTTCATGACGGAAAATTGTTCTCTCTCTTTGAAACCCTTAAGCTCTCTGATGATTCTGTGTTGGACAAAGGTAAGTTGAAAACGTCATTTGCATGGCTTGAACCATACATGGATTTTTCTTCTTGAGAGAGGGCCTTACTCCATAGCCTAGGAGGGCCTGGAAAATAGAGTGTAGCCTAGGATGGTGTCAAACTGAAGATAATCCTCCTGCCTCAGCCATCTAAGTACTGAGGTAACAGGTGTGTACCACCATGCCTAGCTGTAGAAGTATAAAAAAAGTTTTTATTTATTCTGAAAATTTTGTATGTAGATGTGTGAGTATATATGTGTGTGTTTATATATATACATATATGTATATATATGTCTTGACCTTATTTACTCCCTTCCCCTCCAATTTCCTTCAGAATCTCCCTCCCAGCTTCATGTTCCCCTATTTTTATTCTAATATTACTATTTTTTAAATCATGGAGTCCAGTTAGTGTTGCCCATATCTGATTGGGTTTGTGGTTATCTACTGGGGCATGGGTATCCTGCCAAAGAAAGTGGCTCTCCCTCCTTTAGCAGCCATCAACTGCAATACTCCACAGCTAAGCCCTCCCCTGTCTGTGATATCTATGCTGGAGTTTTTAACTTGCTTGATCCCATGCAGGTCGTATGCAGGTAAGCAGAGCTGGTGCGAGTTCATATGCACAGTGGCCATGGTGTGGCCATCAGATGCCCTTCTACAGCGCTCCTCCCCTACGTTCTTTCTCTCCTCTCTTTCACCATGTTCCCTGAATCGTGAGGTGTTTGGTATAGATGGCCCATCTGTGGCTGAGCGCCCACTCTTTTTTATTCTCAGTACTTTAAACAGCTAGGAAGCTCTTCATTCACAATGTAGGATTTTTGATGGTGGTCTTTTAGTACGTAAAACAATAGCATCTTGACAGGCACTTAAAAAATGCCTCAGAAGAGATTCCCTGTGTGATCCCGAATGAATCTGGGCACCCACGGATGACCGTGCAAATTAAATTGCTGTGTTTATCCTAGGAAAAATGGCAGCTTCCATTCATTCCTCATCGTGGGTTAAATCACTGTTATTTCCTTAGTGGAAAGAGGCTAGAACCACAAAGAAAATGAACTCCTTTTGACTTGCAGATGGGAAGCTGTGTTACACTTCAGCAGCAAATTATCACTGGCTTTTCCAGAGTTCAGAGCTGCCTTTGCCCTATATACACACTTTGAATCTATTATTTAAAAAGGCATTCAAGTTCGTCTTGTATCTCAATTCTTAAATAATTTAAGGCTCTAACTTGTACAGTTCTGCCTTTGTAGCTTTTGTTGTCTTCTCCACCTGGGAAAGCATCCATTTCTAGGGACTGAACAGAGATTACCACAAGGAAAACATTTCTCTTGAGACAGCCCTGCATGGGCGCATGTAGGTGGAGCCTGATGAGAACCCATCACCGCAAGAAGGCCTGCCCCAGAGAAGACAAGAAGCAGCTGATAATTTGTTTGGGGCCTACATGAGTCCTGGGCCATTTGCAAGTCCTGGGAAACACGTAGTGAGGCCACAGTGTGCTTGATTATCAGAGACTGAGGGGTGTGACTGAAGTACACGCAACCATCAGGACCGCTTGTTCCGTTTGTTAGCTGCGACTGAGATCCGCTCCAGGCCGAGTCTTCATGTAGCTTGCTTTTCCGAAACTGAGAATGCTGTCCTCTCTCTGTTGGGCAGGTGAGTATTTTAAAGGTACCTGATATCCGACTAGAAGAGGAATCGTGGCTCAGTCTTCAGAAGAGGAACATGGCTATCCGGAGTCACTGCCTCACGTGGACACAGTATGCATCCATGAGGGAAGAGTCTGTCTTCCGGGAAAGTGTGGAAAACCCAAATTGGTAAGATCACCTGTGATTAGCTCTCTCTCTCTCTCTCTCTCTCTCTCTCTCTCTCTCTCTCTCTCTCTCTCTCTCTCTCTCTCTCTCTCTCTCTCTGTATTTCGTACTTACAGTTTCTGTCTGTTACACATGTATTTCATTTTATTTTTAGTCATGTCATTAATAGATGTATCTATTTTCTTTTGGAGGAAATATGACAGAACTCAACTTTTGTCCAAGTGCCCCTCCAAATTCTGGTATTTTCTTACTCTCTCCAAAAGCAATGACTGTCACCCATTTGTTGAATATTCCTTTGGACCTTTAAAGGCAATCTAGGTATTCAACAGAGTTTAAACAAGGAAAATACTTTGCTTGAAGTTATCATGCTTTTGACCCATCAGTGGGCCTGTCTAGCACTGGTCAGCTCAAGCAGGCGTAAGGAGGCATTTCGGCATAGACTTACCTAGCCTGCTTAGTTTGTATATCTTTTTAACACACATGATTTTTATGTCACGTACATTTTTGTACACTTATCTTTTATGTTTACTAGACTGCTTCTGAGCTTTACCTATCTGATACACGTACAGCTAGATTATCCCTCTGCAAGCCATTCAACTGTATTTTGTCGCTGCCACTATGGTAGACACTCTGATGGTATCGAGTTTCTCTTTGTTGTAAAGGTGGGTATCATATTCAGGAGTTGTATGTCTTCTGAATATGACTCTTACAGGCTGTGTGAGTGTTTCTCTTAGTGAGAATTTAAGTGTTGTATTTGTTGCAAGGTTATCTATAAACCATCAAATTTGCCTTCCTTAGCATCCAGTTCTTTGAGTAGTGACAGAACTGTACATAGCACAAATATGACAAATTATGACAAATATGTACAGTTAACCTGGCAGGTAGACTAAATCCGCCTGAAATAATAGGTGAATTCTATGGTGTGTAGAGGGTCACAGACAAGCACTGGAGAAAGCAGGCGTGTTAATCAGGCAGGGTTGTCTCCTCTATGGAGTAAATGAGCATCTGTTGTCCATCTAGACTGGGAGTGGATCTTGTTAATAACCTGCTGACTTTTGGTAGCCTACCTGTAAGGTTAGACCTCACCCAAATCCCCCAGAATGCTTATCCCAGACTCTCTCTCCCTAGACCTTTATCTTTATCTTTGCTTCTCAGTCAATAGAAACTATCACTGGGGGAGCTGTCACATGTAGGGGAGCTGCTAACTCCCATGCTATCTTGGTCTCGTGCCTGCAGAGGCCAGAAGAAGGTACTGGATCCCCTGGAAGTGCAGTTATAGATGTGTGTGAGCTGCTATGTAGGTGTTGGGAACCAAACCCAGTCCTCTGCAAGAGCAGCCAGTGCTTCTTAACAGCTGAACCCTCTCTCCAGTCTCCTTGTTTTGTTTTTGAGACAAGCGGCTCACTATTTACTCCTGCCTTCCAGCCATCCTCCTGCCTCAGCTTCTTTGGTGTCTGTCATCTGTTTTTGTCACCCAAAGATAGACTTTGGAACAAAAGTAAAACATCATAAGCACTAAAAATTAATGCTAATCATTATGGTGAAAAATTTGATTTCAGAAGATAATTTGCTGTTTTATTATTACTGTTCTGTGTGGGTTGAAAATTTTTATTATAGATTTAGTTTTAAAATGAAAGTAATAAAACCTTCAGATTAACTAATTGTCCCTATGTAAAAGCCATTCTTAGGGCCCAGGCTTTCTCCAGATCATTCTTTCTCGCACAGCTCTGGTCACACATCAATGGAGCTAGGGTGTTTCAACAGCCTCCTGGATGAGTAAGGAAGCTTGCCTCAGTCACATCAGAGAGAGATTGGTAGATCCATAGTTTTTTATTATGCTGATGCCCAGAGCTGACATAGGGTGTGGGTGGCTGGGATTAAAGCTGAGACCAGGGAACAGAGTTCTGTTGTTGGTATGTAGATATAGTAAAAGAAAGGCATTGTCTGATTGCATGCAAAGTAAGTCTTTTATTTCATCCTCTATTTTAGCACTGTGTTTTGTTAATTTAGTATTATGTTTGGGCTATTGGATAGTCTTAGAAGGTGTCTCTATCAGTTAAATTATGATTTGCCAAGATAATCCACAAAACTTTTCACTTTGTGTTTTTTTTTAATTTATGTGAAAATAATAATTCTGATTATGAGGAAACGGTACATCACTATCACTCTGGTAACTAACAATCAATTTATGCTTATTTATATACTTTTTACAAATTATTTGCCTACTACTATTCTTTGCCCATTTGTACTTGACTCTTAGGTTTCTGAACTTTTAGTTATTACTGTACTGTGATGAAAATCCCTGCAATTGCATATTTTATCACGTATTTAATTAGTTTTTTGAAGACAGGGTCTCATGTTACCAAGGCTGGTCTTGAGTTCATAATGTAGTGAAAGATGACCTTGAACTTCTATTCTGCCTTTAACTTCCAAGTACTAGGATTACAGGCCTATACTACTATGCCTGGTGTATAGGGTGCTGGGGATGGAACCCAGGACTCGGTGTATGTTAGGTCAACGCTCTACCAACTGAGTTACAGCCCCAACCTGTTATCTATGATGTAAGACATTTTTTATGACTGAATTCTAATTTATAGTATGGATATTTGTATATATGGAAGGAGAGAAAATGAATAAGTATGAATGTGTCATTGAGGAGTTGTGTAAGCCAGGCAGATGCTCTACCACTGAGCTATGGCCTCATTTTGCATAGTTCAAAATATAGAAACAGAAATTATGGAAATAGTTTAGAACTATTTACCATTATTCTGCAAGACTCTGCTCCATGTTTACATTTCGTGTTATTTCTGTACACCTTCCCCAGAAGTGCGTGCTTCCCCTGTAAGAGTGATGGGACTAGGAACTTGCTATTTTACTTCCAAAGCCAGATTTAAGTCCAGGAAAGCAGAGTATTCAGGGCTTTCTGTATTTGGCATGGACAATCCCCCATATCATTGTTGTCTTCTCTGTTGTACAGAGACTGGTGTTTGGAGGTCCGGGATGCCATGGGGAGTGTTTGGGTGAATGTCAGAGTCTCTGGGCTCGGACTCCAGGCTGATGTTCCTCTTGCCCTTAGGACGCTTCACAACAAGCCAGAAAATAGGGAGGTGAACGAAATAACAGCAGGACAAAATTCAAGTCATCTCTTGTGGGAATGAGCATTGACCTGGAAAATGGACAGTGGCGGTGCCCTGTTTAAAATTTGTTAGAAGAAGAAAAAATTGATGATTTCTGCCTTCTGAAAACCTCCATTCTGAGATAGGCTTATCAATTTCTTAGTATTTGTGTTTGAACTGATTCTTCTTTAAATTTAGTAATATTTGATTTGATATGTCCAAAATATTATATTTACATATAATTAGTATGAATAATTGTTAAGGAATATTTTGCAGAAATTTCTAATGAACCTCTAACATCTTTTATTCAAGTCGGCCATGACTGTTCTGAGGGGCCAGCCCCCATGTGTGGCTGGTGGCTGCCATTCGGATATAACAGTTTTGACTAAGAAGGTAGAGTAAGCTTGCCATCTTTTGCCCTTCCCTTTGCGGCCTCAGAACTAGAGCAGCTTGGCTGTGATGCTGAGGCATTCTAACCATAAAAGCACCTATCCTTGAAATACGCTTATTAGTTCTAGGCTCGTATTTGGTAATGAAAAATTTTTGATGTCTCTAATCTGTAGGCATATGTGCCTGATCCACGGCATGTACGTGGAGGTCAGAGGACAGCTGGTAGGAATTAGCTCTCGCCTTCCACTATGTGGGTCTTGGGCATTGAACTTAGGTTGTCAGGCCTGGTGTAGTAATTTGACCTGCTGAGACATCTCTCTGGCCCTTTTAAAAATTCAATTTATTGACAATTGCATGCATGTATAATAACTAATTTTGGTCATGTTCACCCACTGTTGCCATGTCTCATTCTACTTTCTTTCCTGCTGAAACCATTCTTCCCGATGAGTCCCCTTGCACTTTCATAGTGTGTGTATGTGTGCGTGCGTGTGCGCACCACCAAATTAAATTAGGCTTGTTTGCATAGCATATGATGGGCAATCAGTGAGCGCACCTCTGAAGAATGTGGCTGCCTTGTCTGGTACCTATTTTCTGTCAGTGGACCCTCTGGGAGAGGTGGGTCCTCACAGGCCCCTCCCCTACCCGTGGTGGAATGTTCGGACCCACAGCTGCTCTGGGTCCTTGAGCGCACCCACTGATTTTTGAGTACTCTCATTTGCTCGTTTTTCCTTTATGAAGGACTTTTGTTATACTGTGTAGACCATGGTAGGTATAGAATAGCTTTGGTTTTGGTGATTGACACTTTCCTAAGTAATGCAGTTCTAGATGGAAATGTCTTCTTGAGGAGTTTTGCCGTCTGCTGCTCCTCACCCCACCACTGCATGTGTTTTGGTGGCAAGTTAAACTGCATCCTTAGGTTCTCCTTTGTGGAGTGATTGCTTCTGAGGGAGACAATGATTCTTTTACACTCAGTGTGGCACCTCAGGGGCTCATATCTGAACTTTTCTGTGTCCAGCACGCCATCCTTGTGCTCTGATGGGGTAAGACTTCGCATTTGACTTTAAAATGCTCAGTTGAGTATATGCCAAGAACGGTGAAGGTTCATTTTTATAAGAATTTCAGCGAAACTGCTCCTAGAACAGAGTACAAAAGGTGTTGAAAGTACAAATGAAGTTTTACAAACAGACTAAATTAGTGGGTTGAGCAGCCTAGTTTCACAGTTTTATAGAGGCTCCTAGGTGTCTATTACTCATTCTAGTAAATAGGTCTGTAACCTTTGAAGGTTTCAACTTTAGATTTCTTGGCTAAAAGTGCCAAGTTTCAAGTAATTATCCAACAAATCACAAAGAGTATGATTAACATCTTTCAAGAGATGCTTGTTGGGCAGTTTGCGCTTCTATCTCTTTCCTCCTCTGGAGTTTTTATGTTTGTTTCAGCAACAGATGTGACAGTTGTGTGACTTCCGTGAGAGTTTTAACGCCGGCACTGCCCCTTTTG